GAGTGGCCTGTCAAAAGCCTCAAAGTCTACCTGGGGGTGAAGAAGAAACTCCGGCCACCCACTTGGTGAGCTGGACCTGGGCAAATAGGTCTGCAGCTGGGAGCCGTAGGGGCTCAGAACAGATGGGGGAGGCACAGCCGGGGGCTTTCAACTTGACAGGATTGGTTCAGTGGTTCTGAAGGTGTGGTCTCCCAAACCAGCAGCCTCAGCATCATCTGGAAACACACTAAAAATCCAACTTCTGGAGTACTACCGAGACCTGTTGACTTGTGGATCCTGGGGGCGGGGCTAGCAGTCTGTGCTATAACAAGCCATCCAGGGAACTCTGATGCTTGCTCATATTTGAGAACCACTGGCATAGACTGAAACCCTGTCATTTTCTGTGCCTCACTTCCCACATCTGTAGATGGGGAAAATAATGGTATAGCTATTTCAAAGGGTATTGTATGTTTTAAAAAGTCAAAAAGTGATGCATAGCCGTTATTGTTATTAATTATTGCTATCAGACTTGGTTTTCTGACTTTCTCTTCTCATCCACTGGCTGTGCCTAGTTACCTTTGAAGGACTAGGGTAGGCCTGGGGTGGGGTGGAGTTGGGGGTTGGGGAGCCAAGGGCCTGTTTTGCTCTGAGGAAGGTAGGGGCTGTGAGAAGAAGCAGCAGCAGCCAGGATATGCTGCCCTTGCTAGAAGGCCCTGAATTCTGCCCCCAGCTCTGGCTCATGCTTCTGGGCTCTGTCCTGGGAACCTGGGCTGTGAGTCCTCTGGGGGCTATCAAGTGATTCCACTTGCCCCTCCTCTACAGCTGGGGCTTCACTGTGGTGCACGAGACAGAGAAACATGAGAAGCAACAGTGGTGAGCAAGGGCCCTGTCCTGAGACCCCAGGCTGAGGAGAGATGGTAGCCCGTCCCCTTGATTGGGTCCCCCTCACTGTCCGATCTATGCCCTGCCCCAAGACCCTGGGCTGGGGAGATTGGGCAGGATGTCCTCCACTCAGCCGGGCTCTTGGCAGCATCCAGACCTGTGCTCCACCCTGCAGGTACCTCTGCTGTGAGACGCAGATGGAACTCCGGGAGTGGTTCGCCACCTTTCTCTTTGTGCAGGTACCAGGTGCAGGGTGCAGGGGATGGGGTATGGGGTGGGGTCCTGAGGAGGCATCCATTCTGGTGAATAGGACATTTACTTCTTCACTGTTCAGGCCACCAATTGCTTCAAGGAAACTGAATTGCTATTAATTCCGTTTGTTTGTTCCTTCACTCATTAAACCTTTCCTAGTGCCCACTCTGGTTCAGCCTAGAGCCAGGCATGCTAGAGACAGAGGGTGCAGACCCCTGTCCTCGGTGGTGGGTGAGTAGGGAAGGCATAAGGGGAGAGGGTATCATAGGAGCTGAGTCTTTGGGAATGAGGGAATGTTCATCAAGCAAAGGGAGAGGTGGGGGAAGCTTCTAGGCAGAAGGAAAGTATGCAAAGGCATGGCAAATGAATGACAGATTGTCCAATGGGATGTAAAGGGAGAAGCCAGGAGTGCCAGAAGTTGGCACTGGAAAGGGAGTCAGGAGAAAATCTTAAAGAACCTTGAAGGCCACGCCAAGGAAGCTGAACTTGATCTAGTCTCCATTTTTAAGGGAGAGTGTTCAGCAAGGAGTGGTGGTATGCAAGTTTGAGTTTGAGAGGACTCATTCTGGGAGTGGTGTGCAGGGGAAGATGGACTGCAGGGCCAAGCCTTGAGGTGAGGAGGCCAGGAAGGTGGCTGCTGCAGTGGCCAGGCAGGAACAGGCTGGGAAGGACTTTGAGCAGGGCCAGAGGGCTGAGTTGGCTTAAAATAGAGGTTTTTAAATGAGAGCTCAGAATTGTTTAGGGAGAAGGGAGACAACTGTATCAGGGCCCTAAGAGAGACGGGGTAGATTCTGTAGTTTTCTCGGTTCCTGGTGAAAGGAGGCAGACATGTTCCTCTAGAACTGTTTTCTTGGTGCTGCATTCCTAGAGCAGTTTGTTTGTGGACCCAGAGATGAGAGTTGTTGAGTAACATAACTGGCTGGGTTTTGCCAGGGATACAGTCATGTTCTCCTAACAGCTGCTTCTCATATCAGCTGGGATCAAAGCTGAGGGTGTCACCTCAGATCATAGCTGGAGGCATTTCTGGGAAGGGTGGGTGGATCCGGGGTTGAGTGTCTGGGCTAGCCAAAGCTGAGCCCAGGCCTCAACGCCCCTTTTCTCCCCTGCTCCCCAGCATGATAGCCTGGTGTGGCCCTCGGAGCCCTCACGCGTGTCCCGGGCAGTGCCTGAGGTCCGGCTTGGCAGTGTGTCACTGATCCCCCTCCGTGGCAGTGAGAACGAAATGCGCCGGAGTGTGGCCGCCTTTGCCTCAGACCCCCTTTCTGTGAGTGGCTCTCCATTCCTATGGGCAGGGGGCGGGGGTCTTGGCTGGAGCCTGCCTTCCACCCAACCCTTCCTCTCTGCTTCTCTTCTCTGAGTGCCCTTGGACCCCATCCCTATGCCCTCAGTAGGAGTCCTGACAGGCCCCTTTGGATCACATGGTTCATGGGAGCCCCCTCTCCACCAGGATCCGCAAAGTGCTTATTGAATCTGGGCTTCTCTGCCTTCCCACAGCTCCTTCGAAACGTGTGAACGCAGGAGCCAGCCCCTGGCTCTGGGACTCTGCCGCCTTGAGGCCTTCCTGTTCAGACACCCTCATACCCTGCGTGCCTGCTCTGAGCCAGCAGGGGGCGCATGAGGAAGCCACACCCCTACATCCCACATCCTGACTGCAGCATGGGGTTCTCTGGCCCAGGGGTGGGGACAGCAGTGTCTGCCTGAGAAAGAGCCCCTTACCTACTCTGTCCAGGTGCTCAGCTCCCCTGGCCTGGCCTGTTTCTCCGAAGGGTCGCCCACCCTGAGTTCGAGGGATTGCAGAGATGGACGTCAATCAGGAACTCTGGAGGAACACCATCATTTCAGAGGCTTGAGGCCCTGGGGCCCCCGCTGGAAGGGAGCCCACCCCCTTGCCACAAACTCCAGAACAGCAAAAAGTGGATACTCTAAAGGAACACTCAGCTGGGGTGGGGAGGGAGCTCTTGGGTAAGTTTCTACAGGGCCGAGAGCTGGACTTGGGGGTCTTCAGGCCCCCTTGTGGTCTAGGCTGACTGGGAGGCCCCAGACTACCTGATGCCCCTTCCCCACTTTGGGGAACTTTTGATAATATAAATATATCTGTATATTTTATCCTGTGGTGCTGAGGCCTGTGATTGTTTGGGAGTTTCCAGTGCCCCGGTGTAGGAGACAGGAGGTCAGGAGCCCAGAGAAGAGTGCTAGCGCCCTGAAGCTGGGGACCTGGGCTCTGCTCCTTCCAGGCCCTGAGCCTTTCAGCCACTCTCCCCCATCCCAGGCAGAGCCCCAGCCTGGCGCTATGCTATCCCCACTCTAGTGGGGAATGCTGGTCCTAGTCTTGGCCAGGACAGGCCCCTGCTGATCTGAGTCCCTGTCCTAGCTGCCGTCGATCTGAGCTGGAGCCTGGGTGTGGCATGCGAGTGGCTCGGGCAGCCCCTCACCAGCCTCTCTGAGACACAAGGTCACAGGGTCACAGGAGCTTCATTAAATTAGGATGAAGGGCCTCATACTGAGTCACACAGTTTTCCTGAATCAGGGCTGAAGTCCATTTGCACTGGACCCCTATGCACACCCCTCCAGAGGTGGGCGCTGCGTTGCACCAGGAAGCTGCCCTCACTGGGTACTGCCTGGTCATTTCCTCCAAGAAGACAAAGCCCTGGCAAGTTGGGGAGATAACGAGCTGTCAGAGATGGATTTGGGACTCCCTGGGAAGGTGCCAGACACCACATTCCCGCCTCTGCCTAGAGTCTCATTACCGGCCTCTCTCCAGGGGCCCAGCAGGCAGACAGGCTGACCTCCCAGCCTCAGTCTCAGGCTGTGGGGCTGGGCAGAAGTATGGAGGGTGGGTCATATGACCACTGACTCATGTGATGCAGTTCAGTGGCAAGGCCCTGGGTGCTGGTGGGGGTGTCTTGGGGACCTGGACTCCAGATTCTTTGTTCTCCCCTTTGTTCTCATCCTTGAGGTGGATGTCAGGAGATTGGAATGGGTTCCCTAGCCAGTTTCACAAGTTGTGGCTAAGCCCCTTGAGTCTCCTACTCTGGTTCTGCCCTAGGTGGTCTTCTCTAAGCCAGGCTGACCATTCCACATGCAACCAGGACAGATCCTTGTCCAGGTGCTCAGGGGCTGGAATTCATCCTTGGATCTGACCTTGGACTGACCAGCTAGCCCTGAGACTCAGAGAGAGGACAAGTGAGACTGGAGTTGCTCCCCGCCAGCTGCCAAAGTCACTTTACTGGCCAAGGAGCTGACTGCAGTGACCCTATTAGGCCACCAGGGGACAGGCACGGACAGCTCAACGTTGCTGGTCCCAGGAGAGGTTCCAGAGGGCCTCAGTATGGATGTCCTGACCCAGGCTTTGCTCTGTTGGAGTGTGGGATGGGACTTGTCCCTGTCTTTGACACCAAGGCTGTTGATATTCGGGAAAGCAGCACAGTGCAGGGATGTGCTGTGGACTTCTGGGCTTTAGGAGCCAGCAGGAGAAGGAAAGAGTCCTTTACCAAACACCCACTGTAGGTCAGTGCCTGTGCTGTATGCACTGTTTCCTTCTGGCAGAGAAAGAAAATAAATAAGGCCCAGAGGAGGGAGGCAAATTGCCCAAAGTCACACAGCTTTCCTGAATCAGGGCTGAAGTCCATTTCCACTGCCCCCACTTTGGCGGGAAGCGGCGGGGGATTCTTCCTCCTCTACTCTGATTCCAACTATGCTTTCTTATAAGTGGCCTTATTTGTCTCCTGGAGATGGAGTTCTGAACTGTCAAGAGTTCATGGTAGTTTAAAGTGCTTTCCCTTGGAATCAGGGATGATATCTTATTGTGCCTTCAGAGCCTCAACCTT